AGGGCTCGCGCTGCCCGCACGACGCGGCCCTACCGCGCGGCCGTCGTGGAGCTGGGCCTCCGTTAGACGGGCCGACGTGCCTCGACGGCCTGGGCGACGTCGTGGGCAAGGGCGCCGAGAGCGACCTGGACGTTCCGGGTCCTCGACGCCCCACACGGACGTCAGCTCGGCGAACCCCTACGGCGAGGTGACGGGCGGGTGGCTGCGCATCCGGGGACGGCTCGCGACGGCCGTCCTGACCATCTACTCGAACAGCTTTGTCGATCCGAAGGACGGGAGACCCAGACCCGCCTCGAGGCCCGCCGTCGGTCTGAAGCTGCTGAACGTCTTTAGAGACGTCGTGCCGGCCCCGAGCCACCGCGGTATCGGCATCGACACGCCGCTGGAGTCCCGTGTTGTCCTCAACGGATCCGTCACCACGGGCGCGCGCGTGGATGGAGGCGGCGACTGGCTGGAACGAAAAGCCAACATGGACTTCACGGTGCGTATCATGATGGTGGCGAGGTTGCTCAACGGAGGGGGGCCCTTTTGCCTGATTCTGGGCAACAATGGTCTCTACGGAGACGACGCGACGTGCTTTGAACGGCTTGGTGTTGTGAATATGCATGAGGACAGCCTTGTCAGCCGAGAGGATGTATGGCAGGAAGAGGAGTTTATGATTATATGACAAGCAAATGAACGAAGGAGGCGTCAAGTGTAGAGCTCACCGTGGACGGTGCGGCTCGAGTCAAAAACCTTGAGCTGTCATCGCGGGAGAGGGCGTGCCTGACACGCAATAAATATATATATGATGAAAACCGCCATATGGTCTTGCTTTTCAAGAGACATCTCCGTCGTTTGCGGGGGCAATGTGTCCAAGGAATAAACACGGGAGAGCAGCACGTCAGGTCAATAACAATCTTCGTCATGACACCAAACACACAGGCAACTTCATCCAGATAAAACATGTCTAGCACCCGAAAGTATAAAGGTGAATGCAACGGCTATGTATGACCCCAACCGGCAATGCTCGCGAATGCCCGGCTATCGACTATGTGTGAGAACTAATTGTAGACAACTGACAGAACGCATGTGGAAGCAGGTTTGGTGTCCCCGCGCCACAGGAGGAAGCGGGGAGAGAGAAAGAGAGAGAGAGAAACACGAAAACGGCCAAAAAGAACATCTGACCAGGCATGATTCCCATGCATACTCTCGTACAATGTCCCGAAAGCCGTGGAAAGGGGGAAAGGGTAGGCGCCTGTCTTTTCCATACGCCGCTCATTCGTCCTCTCATGACACATTTCCGTTGACGACCGGGGCCGCTGCCTCGGCCGGCGGCGGTGAAGGCGGTGTGTCGACGGCCGCCTCGTCGCCATTGACATCTTCCAGCAGCTGCTCGTCCCCTGCCTCTTCGGCGCCTTCTTCTCCTTCAAACTCTTCGTCCTCGTCAAACTCCTCGTCGCCAAAGTCGTCCATGATGAGACCGTTCTGCCGCTCCCAGACCTCCCGTCGGATGCGTTCATCCTTGGCCGTGCGCGCGCGCTCGACCTCCTCGAACCCGCCGGACTTTTTGAGCCTGCCCTCCTCGACAAAGTTGGTCAGCTCCTGCTGCAGCTTGTTCGTGTTGCGCGTGGCGAGCTCGCGCTGGCGCAGCTTCTCGGCGCGCTCGATGGCCTCGAGGCGGTCCTCGTGTTGGGCATCAGGGCGCGACCTCGCCGAGGACGCCCTCCTTGCGCGTTCTGGTCGAGCGAGTTGCCGAGGCTGTTGAGGCCCTTGGAGAAGTTGCGGGCGTTGCCGGCCGACGCGCCGGTGCCGTTGTCCTTGAGCTGCTCCTTGGTGGCGGCCTCGACGAGGGCGAATGTTTCCGAGGCCTTCTCGAGATCGTCCTGCAGATCGACCATGAGATCCTCCATAAGGCGCAGCTCGTCGCGGCCCTTGCAGACGTCCTCGAGTTCCTCTCCCAAATCTTGGTCCATATGGGTTTCTCCTGCTTCATGTAATCCTCCACCTTCTTGAGCTCCATCGTCAGGCGCGTGATGTCCTTGGCCACACCCTCCAGCTGCCTGGGCAGGGGGCGCACGCCGCGGTGCACGACGTCCTTGCGGAGGTCCTCGACTGTGTCTTGCAAGTCGTCCACCTTGGTCACGAGCCTATCCGAGTCCTGGTTGAGCTGCTCGCGGCCCTTGGAGACGTAGGTGTAGCCGCCGTCGCCGTTGATGTGCGGCACGGACGCGTTGATCGTTGCCGCCTTGACGTTGCTCGCCTTGGCGCGAATGGCGGTCATGGAGCCCTGAATCTCAGACTGAAAGTTCGAGTACGTCTGACGCATGACGGCAAGGTCACGGCGCAAGATTTGGAGCTCGGTCAGGTGACCCGGGGTCAGCTTGCGACCGGAGGCAACGGCCGTGGCCTTGGAGCCCTCTGCCGTCTGTACAATCGTGGGGGGCGCGGCGGCCAGCCTGGCCAGTTCGGTGGCCGTCTCCTGCTGACGCTCAGAGACTAATTGCAGCGCAATGCTCTGGTCACTCATGCCTTGCTTGACGTCCTGGATGATCTGTTTCAGTGACCCGATGCCTTCATCAACATGGCGCTTTACTTCGTCCAAGGCTTCAATGTTCAACACCAAGACTGTTCGGTCCTTGATGTCTGACAGATCCTCCAGCTCGTGTCGCACACCGGAAACAGGGTCTTGGATATAGATGTCGGGTAGATCTGCTCCATTCGAATGTGTGTTCCAGGAAAACTTCTCGATAAACGCCAGTTGCAGACGCCCAATCGAGAGATCACTGTAGCCCTCGGGCAGGACGAATTTCTTGACCTTCGACTTGTACTGAAGGAAGAGGGTCAGGTCCTTGGTCAAGGGAGGCGAGGCCTCCTGGAGGAAATTCTCGGCCCGTTTCTTCTCGGGCGTCTTGACCTCCCGGGGCAGGGGTGGCTGCTCCTTATCAAGTACCGACGTTGGCACCGGCTCAGTCTTCTCCTTTTCAGGCGAGTACGGGGGCAGGTCCGGCAGATCGCTCGGCAACGGTCCGTTGAGTGTTGCGCTTGGCTTGGGGTACTTGTCTTCCGGGGTCTTTGCTGTCGGACTGTCGACCATGCCCGACCTGGGCGGGAGGTCTGATGTGGAAATCTCCTCGGCGATGCGGCTCGGCGCCCGGACAGGCGAGGGTTCGTACCCTGCGCCGCGTGCTGACTGGTTCGAGGTGCTCCGGCTGTGACGCACGGATTCACGGACTTGAACGGCACGCAACGT